TTTTTTTTGGCAGAAATTGACAAGCAGATTGTGAAATTCCTATGAAAATGCAAGGAGTGGGAAGGGAGGGATAAGGGCAGGGAAAAAGAAAGGGGGCATTACGATTAGCATGTACAGTGTTGTGGGGGGTACAGGGAGGGCTGTACAACACAGAGAAGACAGGTGATGATTATACAGCATCTTGCTACACTGACGGACAGTGACTGTAGTGGGGTGTGGGGGGGACTTGGTGAGTGGGGAGCCTGGTAAACATAGTGTTCTTCATGTAATTGTAAAGTAATGATAGCAAAAAAAAAAGAAAGAAAGAAAATGCAAGGAAACCCAGAGGCCAAAACAATCTTGAAAAAGAACAAAATTGGAAGAGTCACACTTCTCAGTTTCAACTTACTACAAAGCTACAATAATCAAGATGGTGTGGTACTGGCATAAGGACAGGCATATACATCAATAGAACAGAACTTATGGACAAGTGATTTTCAATGAGGATGCCAAGACAGTTCAAAGGGGGAAGTATAGTCTTTTCAACAAATGGTGCTAAGACAACTGGATACCCATGCACAAAAAAGTAAAGTCAAATCTCTACCTCACATGTGATCAACAACCTCAAATGGATCAAAGACCTAATTATAAGACCTAAAATGATAAGACTCTTAGAAGAAAATAGGTACAAATCTTCATCTCCTTGAATTAGGCGAATGCATTTGACCTACCACACCTTAAGTACAACCTGACAAAGAAAAATAGATAAATAGGACTTTGCAAAAATTTTAAACTTTTGTACTTCAAAAGGGCACTACCAGGAAAGCAAAGAGACAACCTACAGAATGGGAGAAACATTTACAAATCATCTATGTAATATGGTCTAGTATCCAGACTATGTAGAGAACTCTTACAACTCAACATAAAAAAGAAATAATCCAATTTAAAAATGGGCAAAGTATTTGAACAGATATTTCTCCGAAGAAATAAGAACATGAAAAGATCTCAACATCATTAGTCATTAGGGAAATGCCAATAAAAAAGACAAAAAGCACTTCATACACACTAGGATGGCTACAATCGGACAGATAGTAACAAGTGCTGCCAAAGATGTGGAGAAAGTGCTCTTACCCATCCCTGGTGGGAGTGTTAAATGGCCCAGCCGCTTTGGAAAACAGCCCCGCAGTTCCTCAGAAAATTAAACAGTACGCGGAGGTCGGCCCCCGCAGGTCTCCCTGGCCTCTGCCACCGAGTGCGGAAGGGAGGGGGCACCAGCAGGAGGAGCCTGCGGCTCCCCTTGCGCAGGCGCTGGACACAGCTCTGTGCCTCTCTGGCTGTTCGGCCCAGGGCTGTGACATCTCTCACCTCTAGAAAGGGGGTCACAACAGCACCCCGCATAAGGCTGCTCCCAGAGAAACTAAGCCCTGGCCCGAGGCGCTCGCTTGTTACCAGGGCTGGGAGCAGAGCGGAAGCCCCGGGGCTGAGGACCGGTGTGTGTAGCTGTAGCTGGTGACCTAGCTCGGTGTCTTGCCCAAACACCCCAGACCAAGCACGCAGAAAGCAGCGGTGCTGCGAATGCTCGCTCAACAGGTCAGATTCCACACCTGTCAACACTGCAACGCGCTACTGAGCTTTAGCAAAACGGAGAAAGTGAGGCAGAATGCTCTGACTCAACATGTTTACTGAAGACTGAGTGGGTGTGCCATGAACACCAGCTAAGTAAACCCATCCTGATGGCATACTTTTCCCCCACTGAATAAGCACTGTAGCAACAAAAGAAATCAGAGGCAAGAACCCTCCCACAGAACTGCCTGCCCTACAAGTGGGCCTTAATGTGGGAACAGGCAGAGCTGAAATCATGGCATTTTGCTTTCTGCACTTGAAATTAAATCAGTGATCTCTCTACACTGCTGTAGAATACCCCAGTCAACATCCAAAGAGTGGGTGGGCCACCAGAGCAATTATTGGAATTCAGAGGCTCCGTGACTTCTTTGCAATTAAAGATAATGCTGCAAGGAACATACAGCTAGCTGTCTCGGGTTTTCCTCTAGGATGAATTCTTAGACATTCTGTGGTCATAATTTCCCTACTTCTCGGCATATGTTCGCTGCATGCAGCTAAATCCTCCTGGAAAGGGGCTGGCAACTTTCTACTTCCGCGTACGAGCAGGGTACTGGCAACATTACTGCATCTCGCACGAGCTCAGTAAGCACAGAACGATGCCTGGCTGCTGTTTTAAATACGCTGTAACATCTGTAGTAATGTTATTCGTTTACAGGTGTTTTGTTATTTCTACCAATTTGTTGAGGCTTTTCAGAGTCCAAACCACCCCCTTGTCTCTCGCAAACACCCCCTAACCTGCTGGTCATGTTTGACTTGTCTCTGGGATGCTGACCCCTTTGCTGGTCCAGCCCTCTAGTTTCCCAGGCTCAGGCCTTGCCCTGCATCCATCCTGCGGACACGGCAGCCGCCATGCTAGCTCAACACAACCCCCAGCCCTAGGCCCCTGTGGATTCTAGGGCACCTCCCCACTGGCCAGACCACACCGGGGGAGAGCTTCCAGAGAGCTACTTCTCAGTTGGCTACTGTCTGGACACTGGGCGCATACACTGAGAGGCAGAGAAAGCCCGTTTACTCGGAGAAGGTGGAAGCAGAGGGGTGGAGGGGAGCCCCAACAAGAGGAGGGAAGCTGTCCTGGGTCCCTCGGCTCCAGTGTCTGAATGCAGGCCATACGTGGGCCTGGCCACACCCTGCCTCCGTCTGAGCCCCCTGTGTCCCCTCAGAAGCTCTCCTTGCAGAAAGGCAGAGCAAGAGGGGGCCTGACTGCTAAGGGTGCCGGCGGGCCCCCATGCGGCTGACTCTCTACCTTTACTACTAAGCTTGGGGAGTCGGCCAGTCATCCTTCCTCCAGAAGAGGGAGGGTCAGTTTTATTCTGTCAGGCTTTCTACAACTAGGAGCTATGTATTTAACTTTTTAATCCATAAACAATTCATTCTTAATAATTAACTCTTTGATCCATTTGGAATATATTTATATTTGGAATACAATTTGGAACCATTTGGAATATTTATATTCCAATTTATATTCCAAATACTTGGAATATTTATATTCCAAATGGATCAAAAGTTAATCTTGAATCTAAAGATAAATTATTTTGGGCCAAAAGCAGTTAGTTTCTCCAATAGCATGTATTAGACAAACCTCCCCTCACCTCAGTACTGTGGGATCCTATAACCATATACTAAGCATGTATATTCTGGCCTGCTGAGGTGACATGCCTGGCCCCCATTTTCACTGCAGCTGTTTGGGAAGTGTCTAAACAGATGATACCGCAGGCATCTCCTTTCATGTGCCCTCCCCTCAATGCATATTTCCTGCTTTACTACCAAATTAATTCAAAATTCTGATCCAATACTTGGTAAGCCATCAGTAGGAACTGTGTGGTTGTCTGGTGGGCCAGGCCTAGGCTGGAACCTAAGTCCCTCCACTGAATCACTGTTGTCATTTTGGTCTAAAACTTGCCCACAGGTTCCTCACCTTTAAAATGGTAAGAGTTTAAGGACCTGCACTTCCCTGGGTCACTGTGGGAGATAAACTGGAAGATAGAGGCCAGAGGCTCAGCCCAGTTCCCAGCGCGGGAGTTTCGGGGGAGTTGGGGGGGTGGGGGGCACAGCTGTGCGCTGCTCTTCCATGCTGACCNTTATTGCCCCTGGTGACAGCTGTTTAGCCTTAGGAACACTTCCTTCTATAGCAGTCCCTCCAAAATACACTGTAGAGACCGTTTGTGGGAGGTAAATTCTCTCAGCTTTTGCTCATCTGGAAATTGTTTAATCCCTCCTTCAAATTTAAATGATAACCTTGCTGGGTAGAGTATTCTTGGTTCGAGGCCCTTCTGCTTCATTGCATTATATATATCATGCCACTCCCTTCTGGCCTGTAAAGTTTCTGCTGAGAAGTCTGATGGGTTTTCCTTTGTATGTGATCTTATTTCTCTCTCTAGCTGCTTTTAATAGTCTGTCCTTATCCTTGATCTCTGCCATTTTAATTATTATATGTCTTGGTGTTGTCCTCCTTGGGTCCCTTGTGTTGGGAGATCTGCGCACCTCCATGGCCTGAGAGACTATCTGCTTCCCCAGATTGGGGAAGTTCTCAGCAATTATCTCCTCAAAGACACTTTCTATCCCTTTTTCTCTCTCTTCTTCTGGTACTCCTATCATACAACTATTGTTCCATTTGGATTGGTCACACAGTTCTCTCAATATTCTTTCATTCTTAGAGATCTCCAGGGCTGGGTGTTCAGCAGTCCTAGGCTTCCACCCTCTCCCTGCTCCGTTTCTCTTCCTCCTCTCTGTGAGCTGGGGTGGGGGAAGGGCTTGGGTCCCACTGCATCAAGGCTTTGGCACGTTACCCTGTTTGGTGAGGTCTGCTCTGTTCTCCAGGGGTGTGCAGTCTGGTGCAGCCTTCTTCCCTGTTGCTGTTTTAGGATTAGCTGTATTAACTGTATTTTCGTATCATAAGTGGTTTTAGGAGGAGGCCTCTGTCTCACCTCTCACACCGCCATCTTCAATCCTCTGACACCTTTGAGTTTTGCTAACCCACCGTGGGCGTGTTCCTTCTGAGCTCAGATGGCTTACCTTTGGCCACGGGAGCCCATCAGGCTCACTCCTGTGCCATTCTCATGTGACCCCCCCTAGTCTGAGCCTCCACACTTTCAGACTCAAGGTGTCTCAACTCACCTTTGCTGTTCCCAGGCCAGACTGTGCTTCTCCAAGAAGCCCAGGTTCCATTTAGTGGGAGGTGCTGTTTCGTACTCACTGTCCAAGCACTATGGGTGCAGACCACAGTGGGGCTGCCATGCAAATAACTTTAAGCTGTTAGTTTTATTTAAAAGTGCAAAAACTGAGTTTATAGCAACTTCCACCTTTAATATAAATATTAATATCATTAAATTCAGGTAATAAAATAATCTTACCCAGTATGGATGTGGTATTCAAATTTTTAGGAAAAAGTAAACACCTACCTGTTATAATGCATGTGCTTCTGAAAATTTTTACTTAAAAATTCCTTGTAAAAGTCAGCCATTTCTTCTGCATTCAGTGTCGCTTTCTGACCTGAAAATTTATTTCAGCTTCAATATTAAGACTTAAAAGTAAGAGACCCACAAATAAGTACTGATCTAATAAAATAAAGTCAGCAAGGTTGCAGGACATAAGAGCAATATACAAATATCAACTATATTTCTATACACCAGTAATAAACAATCTGAAAGTGAAATTGAGAAAACAATTGCAATTACAATAGCATCAAAAAGAATAAAAGACTGAGGAATAAATTTAAGAGAGGAAATATAAGACACACTGGGGTTGGGAGGATGGGTGAAATAAGGGAAGGAGATGAAGAGGTACAAACTTGAAATTATAAAAGAAATTACTCATAGAATGGAAGTACAGCAGAGAGAATACTACCAAGAGTAGTGTAGTATCTTGGTATGACCGCATGGTTAGTAACTACACTTTCCATGGTGAGCATTTAGTAATGTATATAATTATCAAATCACTATGTTGTACATCTGAAACCAACATAATATTTCAAATCAACTATATTCCAATAAGGAAAATTAAATGTAAAGACATCCCATGTTCATGGTTTTGAAGATAATACCATCTCCCCAAATTGTAACAGAGTCGACACAATACCCATCAAAACCCTAGCTGGCTTTTTTTTTTTTTTTTGGCAGAAATTGACAAGCAGATTGTGAAATTCCTATGAAAATGCAAGGAGTGGGAAGGGAGGGATAAGGGCAGGGAAAAAGAAAGGGGGCATTACGATTAGCATGTACAGTGTTGTGGGGGGTACAGGGAGGGCTGTACAACACAGAGAAGACAGGTGATGATTATACAGCATCTTGCTACACTGACGGACAGTGACTGTAGTGGGGTGTGGGGGGGACTTGGTGAGTGGGGAGCCTGGTAAACATAGTGTTCTTCATGTAATTGTAAAGTAATGATAGCAAAAAAAAAAGAAAGAAAGAAAATGCAAGGAAACCCAGAGGCCAAAACAATCTTGAAAAAGAACAAAATTGGAAGAGTCACACTTCTCAGTTTCAACTTACTACAAAGCTACAATAATCAAGATGGTGTGGTACTGGCATAAGGACAGGCATATACATCAATAGAACAGAACTTATGGACAAGTGATTTTCAATGAGGATGCCAAGACAGTTCAAAGGGGGAAGTATAGTCTTTTCAACAAATGGTGCTAAGACAACTGGATACCCATGCACAAAAAAGTAAAGTCAAATCTCTACCTCACATGTGATCAACAACCTCAAATGGATCAAAGACCTAATTATAAGACCTAAAATGATAAGACTCTTAGAAGAAAATAGGTACAAATCTTCATCTCCTTGAATTAGGCGAATGCATTTGACCTACCACACCTTAAGTACAACCTGACAAAGAAAAATAGATAAATAGGACTTTGCAAAAATTTTAAACTTTTGTACTTCAAAAGGGCACTACCAGGAAAGCAAAGAGACAACCTACAGAATGGGAGAAACATTTACAAATCATCTATGTAATATGGTCTAGTATCCAGACTATGTAGAGAACTCTTACAACTCAACATAAAAAAGAAATAATCCAATTTAAAAATGGGCAAAGTATTTGAACAGATATTTCTCCGAAGAAATAAGAACATGAAAAGATCTCAACATCATTAGTCATTAGGGAAATGCCAATAAAAAAGACAAAAAGCACTTCATACACACTAGGATGGCTACAATCGGACAGATAGTAACAAGTGCTGCCAAAGATGTGGAGAAAGTGCTCTTACCCATCCCTGGTGGGAGTGTTAAATGGCCCAGCCGCTTTGGAAAACAGCCCCGCAGTTCCTCAGAAAATTAAACAGTACGCGGAGGTCGGCCCCCGCAGGTCTCCCTGGCCTCTGCCACCGAGTGCGGAAGGGAGGGGGCACCAGCAGGAGGAGCCTGCGGCTCCCCTTGCGCAGGCGCTGGACACAGCTCTGTGCCTCTCTGGCTGTTCGGCCCAGGGCTGTGACATCTCTCACCTCTAGAAAGGGGGTCACAACAGCACCCCGCATAAGGCTGCTCCCAGAGAAACTAAGCCCTGGCCCGAGGCGCTCGCTTGTTACCAGGGCTGGGAGCAGAGCGGAAGCCCCGGGGCTGAGGACCGGTGTGTGTAGCTGTAGCTGGTGACCTAGCTCGGTGTCTTGCCCAAACACCCCAGACCAAGCACGCAGAAAGCAGCGGTGCTGCGAATGCTCGCTCAACAGGTCAGATTCCACACCTGTCAACACTGCAACGCGCTACTGAGCTTTAGCAAAACGGAGAAAGTGAGGCAGAATGCTCTGACTCAACATGTTTACTGAAGACTGAGTGGGTGTGCCATGAACACCAGCTAAGTAAACCCATCCTGATGGCATACTTTTCCCCCACTGAATAAGCACTGTAGCAACAAAAGAAATCAGAGGCAAGAACCCTCCCACAGAACTGCCTGCCCTACAAGTGGGCCTTAATGTGGGAACAGGCAGAGCTGAAATCATGGCATTTTGCTTTCTGCACTTGAAATTAAATCAGTGATCTCTCTACACTGCTGTAGAATACCCCAGTCAACATCCAAAGAGTGGGTGGGCCACCAGAGCAATTATTGGAATTCAGAGGCTCCGTGACTTCTTTGCAATTAAAGATAATGCTGCAAGGAACATACAGCTAGCTGTCTCGGGTTTTCCTCTAGGATGAATTCTTAGACATTCTGTGGTCATAATTTCCCTACTTCTCGGCATATGTTCGCTGCATGCAGCTAAATCCTCCTGGAAAGGGGCTGGCAACTTTCTACTTCCGCGTACGAGCAGGGTACTGGCAACATTACTGCATCTCGCACGAGCTCAGTAAGCACAGAACGATGCCTGGCTGCTGTTTTAAATACGCTGTAACATCTGTAGTAATGTTATTCGTTTACAGGTGTTTTGTTATTTCTACCAATTTGTTGAGGCTTTTCAGAGTCCAAACCACCCCCTTGTCTCTCGCAAACACCCCCTAACCTGCTGGTCATGTTTGACTTGTCTCTGGGATGCTGACCCCTTTGCTGGTCCAGCCCTCTAGTTTCCCAGGCTCAGGCCTTGCCCTGCATCCATCCTGCGGACACGGCAGCCGCCATGCTAGCTCAACACAACCCCCAGCCCTAGGCCCCTGTGGATTCTAGGGCACCTCCCCACTGGCCAGACCACACCGGGGGAGAGCTTCCAGAGAGCTACTTCTCAGTTGGCTACTGTCTGGACACTGGGCGCATACACTGAGAGGCAGAGAAAGCCCGTTTACTCGGAGAAGGTGGAAGCAGAGGGGTGGAGGGGAGCCCCAACAAGAGGAGGGAAGCTGTCCTGGGTCCCTCGGCTCCAGTGTCTGAATGCAGGCCATACGTGGGCCTGGCCACACCCTGCCTCCGTCTGAGCCCCCTGTGTCCCCTCAGAAGCTCTCCTTGCAGAAAGGCAGAGCAAGAGGGGGCCTGACTGCTAAGGGTGCCGGCGGGCCCCCATGCGGCTGACTCTCTACCTTTACTACTAAGCTTGGGGAGTCGGCCAGTCATCCTTCCTCCAGAAGAGGGAGGGTCAGTTTTATTCTGTCAGGCTTTCTACAACTAGGAGCTATGTATTTAACTTTTTAATCCATAAACAATTCATTCTTAATAATTAACTCTTTGATCCATTTGGAATATATTTATATTTGGAATACAATTTGGAACCATTTGGAATATTTATATTCCAATTTATATTCCAAATACTTGGAATATTTATATTCCAAATGGATCAAAAGTTAATCTTGAATCTAAAGATAAATTATTTTGGGCCAAAAGCAGTTAGTTTCTCCAATAGCATGTATTAGACAAACCTCCCCTCACCTCAGTACTGTGGGATCCTATAACCATATACTAAGCATGTATATTCTGGCCTGCTGAGGTGACATGCCTGGCCCCCATTTTCACTGCAGCTGTTTGGGAAGTGTCTAAACAGATGATACCGCAGGCATCTCCTTTCATGTGCCCTCCCCTCAATGCATATTTCCTGCTTTACTACCAAATTAATTCAAAATTCTGATCCAATACTTGGTAAGCCATCAGTAGGAACTGTGTGGTTGTCTGGTGGGCCAGGCCTAGGCTGGAACCTAAGTCCCTCCACTGAATCACTGTTGTCATTTTGGTCTAAAACTTGCCCACAGGTTCCTCACCTTTAAAATGGTAAGAGTTTAAGGACCTGCACTTCCCTGGGTCACTGTGGGAGATAAACTGGAAGATAGAGGCCAGAGGCTCAGCCCAGTTCCCAGCGCGGGAGTTTCGGGGGAGTTGGGGGGGTGGGGGGCACAGCTGTGCGCTGCTCTTCCATGCTGACCGCAGAGCGCGGCCCCCCTGCTGCGCTCTCCTGCCCCTCCAGAGCTCCCCCTGATGCGCGGCAGAGCCCGGGAGGGGGGCGGCTCCATTTCCCCAGCCCTTTATTGTGAATGACCCGAGCAAGGCCGGGGATTAGCAAGCAGGGAGAGGGGCTCCAGTGACAGGCTGCGCTCTTAGGGGACAATCGCTTCAGAGTTCCCAAGAGAATAATATTTTGACAGTAGACGTCTGTTTAACAAAGAGTGTGAAATGTTACCCAGCCTCACACCAACCCCCAGGAAAACAAAGGTCAGCTTGAGCTCTAAGGACAGCATGGTGGGCACAGGGACTGAGCGCGCCCGGAGTCCCTGGCCCCTCGGGCGCACAGAGGAGGGGGCAGAAGGGCAGACCTCCCTCTGAGGAGGCCCCCAGGGGGCCTGCCCCGCAGAGGCCACCACTTGCCCCCTGAACTTCCTCTCCTTCATTCCCACCCTTTCATCTTCTCACGGAGTTACTCAGACAAAAACAATGTTGGCGGAAAAAAAAACAGATGACTGACCTGACTCAGCTCTCAGTCCCAGGCCTTTTGCTCTCAGTCTTGAGTGAATAAATTCTTCTTTTTCCTAAAAGAAGACAACTATCAGAACTCTGTCTTTCCATTTTCCCTGAGCCAGATCCCAACCTGCAGCGTGCTGGAAAAATCTGATGTAGATTCCTGAGAAACGGCTGATCTCAAAGCCCGTTTTAAATGACCTGAATTTGGTTAAGTTTCATGCTTTGAAAACAAGATGTTTAATAAACTCTGGGAGGCACTATTTGTTTATAAATCCAGAGAGTAAGATAAATGGACTCCATTTGATTCAGCTCACCCAAATGCATAGAAGTATAAAGCTTGAATGATTTTCTTCTGGATTAGGGTATGTACACTTTTTTGTCATATAGTTGATACGTATGCTGCTGACAATTCTAAATTCCCAGGAAGAATGGGGCCACATCACAGAACCCCGAGTGTTGTGACATGAACACACACATACACCCACACCTCTGCTACTCCCTCCCTTCCTTGAAAGCCTCAAGATCTGCTGCTCTAAGAATGACCAACATGTCCTATGTACAGTCACAGATCCACTTCAAACTTGTGAATACACACACGTGATTATGCGACAGAGAAAAGGGAGGGGCTGAGACAGGCCAGTAACGGAAAAGCACTGCGAATACTCGAGGCTGAGCGCCCCCACGTGGCCAACGGTATTACTTCTCATTTGGACCTGAAACTAAACTTACCTTATGAAAAGTCAAATTCTGGTTTGACCAGAACTGTTGGTTCCATTCTTGTGTTTCTTGTCTTAATTCTCTCAGCTTCTGTTCCAATGGTGATTCATTTTCAGGGATGTAAAAGTGAACAGGTCGAAGGTTTGAATATTTATCTGGGGGTCCTATCCAATCATGGCAAGATTTTCTTGGAGGGCAGAATCTTGAAACCTTTAACAAAATGCATGGGGTTCACATAAACCAAAAAAAATTCCTAGTATTATAAAATTACCAGCCCAAATTTACTAAAGTCCCTTGTTGGCTTTCTCTAAGACTATGTGCCAGAGAATATCCAAATGAAAAGACCCATATAAATATTATCAACGTTAATACTATACTTTGGTGCTGGAACAGTTCAACATTCTGATGCAAAAAATAAAGGATCTCAACCTGTACTCTGCACCATATACAAAAATTAACTTAGAATGGATCAAAGACCTAAATGTAAAATCTAAAACTGTAAAACTTCTAAAATAAAATTTTGACCTCATATTAGGCAAATATTATTTAGATACAACACTAAAAGCACAATCCATAAGACAAAAAATAGATGAATTGGACTTCACCAAAGTTAAAACTTGCTCTCCTAATGACACTATTAAGAAAATGAAAAGGCAAGCCACAGACTGGGACAAAACTAACTTAAGTCTGAAAACAGCCCTTTTACACTGCTGGTGGGAATGCAAAGGGGTACTGGTTCAAACGTCCTTCCACTGGTGCAAGGAAGAACCGAGGATGACGCATCCCTGCCACAGACCCTATCCGACAGTAGTGGAGACTGCTAACACGCCGGCGGAGCAGCTCAAAGACATCGCGCAAGCTGAGAAGCCACACTCAGGGGGCTGCGCTCCATATTCTGCTCAGCTAATACTGTGGGAGAGACAGGTGCGGGGTGGAGGGAGGGGCTGACGACAAAGAGATTTTCCAGGGAGATGAGAATGTTCTAGATCTTGAATGGTAGTGGTGGTGTACGTATGTATCAGGAGTGAATTTTACTGTCTGTAAATAGGACTTCAATAACACTGGTAAAATAAAAAGATCGATTGAGTAATCAAAAGACTAGCTTTCCATCTGTCAGTTAACAAATGAATATAACTAAAATTCATGGGAGAAAAATACAATTCAATCTGAAAATCTCATGCCCTATTTCTTTAAAAAAGCAGGTCTATGGAACTTGACTTCCACCTCCAACACCAGAGTGCCTCTGGTGAGCCCCCCACTCCTTCAACAACCAGAAAACTACCAGCAACAGAAAGGAGGGGGCCACACACACCGCAACACCCAGGAGCCGCAGGATGACACGCCAAGGGAAAGAGCCAGGCACGGTGCAACCCCACTGTGTGACGTTCTGGAGAAAGGACCACTTGAGTGGTTGCCATGGGGAAGGAGTGGAGGGGACTGGGGTGATGCTCTAGACCTTACTGAGGTGCTGACTGGAACAGCTTAACAGCTGTCATAACTCACCAAATGCATAGTTACAAGGTGTGTATTCATTCTGCTGTGGAGAAATTACACTGCAATAAAGTCAATTAAAAGAATGGTAAAACTTACAAAGACCAAAGAAATACTATATTGAATGTAACTGACATTTCTTTTCCATTTAGGAGGCACTTCATTCAAGACATTCCGGTATTTCACTATCACCATTATGAGGGGCAATTCCCAAAGAACTAAAGAGATGCAGGGTTTGCAAATTTTAGGTCAAACAGCTCTTTGTCTACTTTGTTGCTTACTGATCATTTAATTTGAAAAAGTAGAATCGCTAATAATTTTACAAATATAATGCGCAGGTGAAGCCACACGCTTGACGATGGCTCCCTTGGCGACAGCACACGGAAAGAAGCCCAGCAGAGGAGTTCCTGCCAGCGCAGCTCCACGGACACGCCTCAGCCAGCCTGTCCCGTCTCATCCCAGTCCCACCTGATGCCCTTTCGTACCAACTGGTATAAGGGCTTCAGAATTTATGCCAAATGTGGGATAAACACTCTCCAGTAGCCCAAAAGACCCAAAAACTCTTGTAACACTGCCACGGTGGTAGGGGTGGGGAAAGCCTGGACCTTGTCTATGACTGCTTCAGGAACAACGTTAGTTTTACCCGACCAGACAACCCCCAAGAATTCCACAGACAAACCGGGTCCCTGAACCTTGGTGCTGTTCACAGCCCGTCCTTTTTCCTGTAGATGTTACAACAGTCTAGGAACTGCCCCTTCTAAGTCTGAAAGAGAATCAGATGTGAGCATATCATCAATGTAGTGATACAACCTCACTGTTTGTGGTTCTTCCGTGTGGCCGAGTCCTGGGCTACAAGCCCATGACAGATGGTGGGACTGTGGAGATGTCCCTGTGGAAGGACAGTGAATGTCCACTGCCGGCCTTCCCACGTGAAGGCAAACTGTTCCTGGCTTCCTGTGCTATGTCAATGGAGAAGA